TCTTGCTCTTGCTCTTGCTCTTGCTCTTGCTCTTGCTCTTGCTCTTGCTCTTGCTCTTGCTCTTGCTCTTGCTCTTGCTCTTGCTCTTGCTCTTGTTCTTGTTCTTGTTCTTGCTCTTGCTCTTGTTCTTGCTCTTGCTCTTGTTCTTGTTCTTGTTCTTGCTCTTGCTCTTGTTCTTGCTCTTGCTCTTGTTCTTGTTCTTGTTCTTGTTCTTGCTCTTACTCTTGCTATTACTATAGTACAGCACAGTCGACTAACCTGTGTATCGTGTTCTATAGGTTTGGATCCGTCCAGAGCGCGTACACGGGGAAGAACTTCTGAGGTCAAGTACACGTACAAGTACACGACACGATCTGTCAGATGGCCGGCATCAACCAGGCATGGAATCGTATATAGTATCTAGTATATTCTAGGAGTGTCTAGCCTCGACGGTCGAGACCCAGTGAGAGAAAGAATAAAAGCATTAGCATATTACATTCGACAAGTCGTCATGTCATCGAAGTTGGGATTGATTTGATTTGATTTGCATTGCATTCACGTCTAACTAACGGGTTGGCATTGCATTCGTATTTGCATTTTGCATTCGCTTTTGCATTTTGCATTCTCATACATTCATGATCCACTATCCATGATCCACTATCCATGATCCACTATCCATGATCCATGATCCATGATTCATGATTCATGATTCACCCTCTGTGGCTCGCTCGCTTGCTTGCTCGGCGCGACACAATCAATCTCAATGGAACCGTCGAACCGTCGAACTATGAAAGTTTACATGATTCAGGTCAATCAATTCAGTCAGTTCAGGTCAATTGTCCTCCAGCGCACGTCGATCGGTCCGTCTGTCAGTTAGAACCTCACCACCCCCTAACCTTAGTCAACCTAACATTCAACCCTCCCTTCGGTTTCGTAGTCGCCATACCAGCCGGCACGACGTCGGCATCCGGGTCCGCCAAGACGCATTCGTAGGCGCCGACAAAGGCAGCTACCAGGGCGCGCAGCTCGGCGCGCGCAAAGTTCTGGCCGATACAGCTGCGTGGGCCGTGTAGGAAGGTCAGGAAGGCGTAGTTGGACGATGCGGCGGTGGGGTTGAATTTTGGTTTTGGTTTTGGTTTGGGTCGGTCGAGCTTGGGCTTAGGCCGGTCATGGTCTTGGTCGTGGTCGTGGTCGTGGTCGTGGTCGTGGTTGTGACTGTCGTCGTGGTCGTGGTTGTCGTCGTGGTTGTCGTCGTGGTTGTCGCGCTGCTCCTGCTCCTGCTCCTGCTCATGATCCCCATCCCCGTCGTAGTTGATCCATCTCTCCGGCCGGAACTCGTCGGCGTCGTCCCCCCACACTGCAGGGTCTTTGTTGATGGCCCATGGCGCCACCAGGATACGCGTGCCGGCTGCCAGCGGCTGGTCGAGCAGCGTCGTGGCCTGTTTGTTCGTCCGCGCGGTCACTGGTACCGTGGGAAATACTCGCAGCGTCTCGCTGCACACGCCGTTGAGGAGGGGTAGAGACTCGAGGATGGTGGCGAGGTCGGCTGGTGTGGATGCTTGTCCGGATGCTGGTCTGGACGCTGGTCCGGAATTGGGATTAGTATCGGCATCAGCATCGACGTTGGCGTTGAGGGTAGCGTCGCCGTTGGCGTTGGCGTTGCCATTGCCGTCGCCGTCGCCGTCCCTAGGCAGAGGCAGCGCAGCGTGGATTTCTTCGCGCAGTCGTGTCTGGATGTCCGGGTGCAGACAGAGCAGGTAGATGGTCCACGTGAAGGCCGAGGAGGTGGTTTCGTGGCTAGCGGCTAGTCAGTAGGCTTTATGGTGGGAGCTTCTTTGGTATTCCTCGAAAAGAAAGATAAGGAAAAGAAAACAAAACAAAACAAAAGCCTTTCGCAACGTTTACTCTGGCAAAAAACTCTCACTCACCCGGCTGCAATGATGGTCAACAATTGATCCACTAGCTCTTGGTCGGAGAAGACGTCGGCTTTCATCAGGCTGGCCAGCGTGTCGATCGATTCCGAGTGTGAGGGCGAGTCGCCGTCACGGTCACCATCACCGTCACCGTCCGAGGCCTTGCGTCGGGCTTGAGCCTCTGCCCTCTTGTCGCGCACCAACTGCTCCGACAAGTCACGCAGCTCTGCCGCCGTCTTGTCCATCCGTCTGGCGGCCGAAGGGCAGAGCAGATTGGCCAGACGTCGACCCCCGACGATCTGCAGCGCCAGCAGGATCTGCATGTCTGAAGAAGTGCTGGTCAGGGCTTCGTACAAGCCCACGATCTTGTCGTCCGAGTTCTCTAGCGTGTTGAAGTCGCGCCCGAGCCCGGCCAGGCCGATGATGTCCAGTGTGGCTTTGGGTGCCCAATACCCGATATCTGTCACGGCGGTGATGGGGTTGTCCTTGTCATTGTCGTTGTTACTGTCGTTGCCGTTGCTGTTGCTGTTGCCGTTGCCATTACCGTTGCCATCATGGTGTGCAAAGACGGACGGATGTGGTTGATGTTGACGTCCCTTCCCAAACACCTCCGCATCGATACATTTCGTCATCTTGACCGCCTTCTCCCAGAACAGAGGATACAAGCCTTTGATCTGTCGGAAGGCGAAACTCGGCAAGCTGTGCTTCCGCTGGCGGCGGTGCTGCGCGCCCTCGGCCACCACCAGTCCGTCGCCGATAGTGCGACGCAGGATATCGCGGTGTCTGTCCGGCTTAGGGAACTCGTACGGTCGGGTGACCAGCACCTCGGCCAGGGCCTTGGCGTTGGTCAGCAGCACCGTGTCCTGGTTGAAGATACCTTTCAGCCGGATGAGCCCGTGGTTGGACATGGCTGGGTCCTTGATGAAGCGGAGATAGGCTTCGCCTCGCGGGGGTTGGAACTGTATCTTGGCGTGGCCGAGGATCGGGTGTGCGCCCTTTGGGATGCCGGTGAGCTTTAGTCTGGGTGTTGCAGATGACGATAACAATGACAATGACGATGACGCCCTGGAAGAATCATGGAAGGAAGAGGAAGAGGAAGGGGTTTCCCAGGAATGAGAAGATACATAGTCCAAGCATAGGCGAGGACGGGGGACAGGGTGGGATGTGAAAGGAAATAAAACAAGGATATGATATCGTTCGCAACGCCAACTTGAACTTGAATGCCATAAATATGAAATATTTGCTGTAATTGCACGCACCTTGGGACATGGGAGGTGTCGAAGCGGACTGAAGAAATGCGGGTAGATGGCCACCACGTAGATCACCCACAGCAGCAGATCCAGTATCACCATGGACACGAACGCCGCAGTCAGACTCGCGCTGAGCCTCGCAATGAATGGTGATGGTGATGATGATAGCCGAGGCGCTGAGACCAGAGCGACACCTTGCACCGCAGCGGACAAGACCAGCAGAAGCGGTCGGGGAAGTAAAATGTCGAAAGCCATGGTTGAGCTGAGTTTGAAGCTTGCAAGGAAGGTTCCAACGCAATAGATGTTGAGATTGAGATTGAGGTTGAGGTTGGTGTTGGAGTCGGAAGCTGGCGGAGCGGAAGAGAGGGCGAGCCGATTGAGAAGGAATGGAATCAATCCGTCTCGTCTTGTGGGGATGGGATGATCCAAGATGCTATATCAATAGGCAGACATCAACTGGTACCGCGGCGAGGGCGAGGGCGAGGATGTAGAATCTCAGAGACACCCGTTGGCTTTCATAACGGTGCTGCCTGTTCACTGTTCCCTGTTCCTTCCCGATCAACTGCAGTATAGATGTTACTATAGGAAGTACTCCGTACAGACCGGGGAGAAACAGGGGATCCCAGAAACAGCAGTAGCCATCAACAGCCAATAATTCGTGTCGGACAGTAATACGATATACGATATACGTACCAGGTTGAGGCCCCTAAGCCCTGTCGCAATACGTAATACGGAGTACGAAGCACCACGTCGGGACTGGTCAAAGGGAAAGCGAGAGGGAACCGGGGGACACTCTCGGCCATTGGTAACACTAACACCACTAGTTACTAGTTGCTCCAGACGGTGAGTTGGTGAGGATGAGGATGGCTGTCTCGACGTATAAAAGGTACCCGGTCGAGTCCGTGTCGTCAGGTGCCAGGTTCCCCAGGGATGTCTGTCGATGCTCGTATATGTATCGATATCCGGAGACAGGACGGATATGGTATCTCGCGCGAGGTGTGGTGGGCTTCATGAAGCCGAGGTCGGTTTCAATTGGAGACGTGACGTCTAAGCAGCGAAGATGCCTAAGCTCACACTGTCTGTCTGTATGTATGTATATTCTCGGTGAGGCTGGTCTTGGTCTGTTCGACTCCCATTTCCATGCCTTTCCAAAAGTACTGGCAGTGGCATTGGCATATTTGAAGAGATACGAGACGAGCAATCCCGCAAGACTTGTGCTCTCACCTCCCTGGCAACAGCGGGAAGCTCGCCCACCAACCCCAGATGAGGCCAGCTGATATCAACCTACCTACCTACCTACCCGCCCCACTCGACTGTTGGTCGGACACGACAATCACCAACGCAACTCACCAACTGGGTTCGGGCCGTCCCAGAGTCTGATCCGCCACATATACGCACGACCGCGTCTCACCTGGTCGCAATGAAAGACGGTGCGTCTGTACCGGTCGAAGACGTCGATGGACATGCCCGTGGTGCCGTAGTTGGAGCGGTAGGGCTGAGACCGGGTGTAGCTGCTCCGGCGCAACCGTCTCCACGAGACCCGGGACGAGGCCCTGTCCTCATTATACCGCACATGGGACAACGTCATGCGCACCAGTCCTTGCTGGCCCGACAGGTGCGTCGTCTTCACCCGGAGGAGCACCTTGTCGTCGGGCTCGATCAAGTATATTCGGCACGTCTCGTGTTCGGCAATCCGCTCGTCGAGATACCATGTTCCTTGCGGTTCGCGCCATAGATCCCTCCTAAAGGCGACGGCCATCAAGAACACCTTTCAATCCTCACCAAGGGCCCAGGAAATTGGTCGTGAAGAACCTTCGGACTGTGCGCCCGCGCCCAAGTCCAAGTCAAATCTTAAGATGTCTTGTCTTGTCTTGCCCGCCACCCTACTACTGGTATGAATCTCTTTGCTGGCAGCCTGTCTGAGGCACCCTTGACCTTGATCTTGACCTTGATCTTGACCTTGATCTTGACCTTGATCTTGACCTTGATCTTGACCTTGACCTTGACCTTGTATAGTATTGCAGCCAGGTGGGACGCCAGGGCGTCTATATGTAAACAGATTGATTGGGCTTCGACGATTATATCTCCTGGAGGGCATGCACGCTTCGTCTCAGACTGCAATGGATTCTCATGAGAGAGGATGTAGAACTAGACGGGAATCTTCCTCTTCTTGTTCATCTTCTTCTTATATTGCATCTTCGTTCTCGCTCTCGCTCTGACTCTGGCTCCCGTTTTCATTTCAAACGCGCCCACAAACATCGATCGCCTATGGCTTAGGCTGATGATGCAGGCTTGAGGATATTCCAAACGGCCTGATGCTGGTGCTGTTTCAAGACTAGATGGCCCACACTGGAGACTGATAAAGGTGTTTTGTTTTTCCCCAGCATAATATAGTGGCATTAGAGAGAGCAGACAAACGAACATCAACGGTGTGACTAACAACCAAGCACCATCGAGTCCGAGTCCGAGTCCCATGTGGTGAGAAGACATGATTTCCTGGTGTACTTTGTGACCACAATTGGATGATTGTGCGTTTGAACCCATGATTGGTAATCCCAAGATCCATGTGCAAGCTATCTTCTGGTCTGCGTTGGAGTGCCTCTTCCTCTTGCACCACATAAAACATTGATATATCAATGGACCGGGTAAGATCCTTCGTTTGCCCATGACAATCTATGTCGCAACAACCAAGACAGGTCTTTCAAAGACACCGAGCCTTACTTAAAGGACAGCCACCGCACCTAGAACAACAGCACCCAACAATCCCCAGCCAAGGCTGAGCATGGCCGCCCCATTGCTATTGTCGCTGGCACTAGTGGCCGACGCCGAGGCAGAGGAACTGCTGCTAGCCGAGTTCGCGGATTCGGATGCAGTCGCAGTTGCAGTTGCACTGCTGGACCCAGACCCAGACCCAGAGTCGTCGTGGTGTCCGGTCGACTGATTGGCAAAGGTATATGCACTGCCAGAGAGCGGGGTGGCACTGATACCGGTGCCGTTCTTGCACGACGACGGTGATTCGGCGGCGGTCGAAGAGAATTGAATGTCCGCACACTATAATACGAACACAGACCGTGGCATTGGTTAGAATCTCATGTCATGTCGTCGATCGCGGTTCAACTTCAACTTGAGCCGGGGGAAAGAGAGAGACAGCAAATGACAGGAAGGATTGATGAAATGACGTACGTTGTAAAGCCCACCGCCCGAGTGAGCATTTGTGATGACCTGAAGGGTGGCGTTCGTGCCGTCGGTGATGTTCAGGTCGGCTGGGACCGGGACGGCAGCCAGACAGAAATCGCCCGGGCCGAATTCATGGATGGTGGGTAGAATCTCATAGTTGAACGAGGATCCCACGTCGTTGCCGATGGCCAGCAAAATCTGCACCAGGTTCTCCGTGTGGCCCAAGTTCATGGCCACGGGGATCGACGTCGGCGAGACCAGCGTGCGGTTCTGCGTCTGCCCGTACCCGCCGCAGGGGAAGCTGGCCTGGTTCTCGTCGTCGGAGCTGCGCGGAGGTGGAAAATCGAGGGCAAAATGTGCAGACGACAAGAGTGGGAGGGCGAGGAGGACGGACAGTACAGATTGGGGGATCATCTTGACCAGAGTCCAGGGTACAGAGACCTCCGATCGAGTGCGTGTGAGGGTCGCAGCAAAAGACACGAGGACGAGGCCGGCCGAACAAGTCAGATGGAGGAAAAGTACAGAGATGAGATGAGATGAGATGAGATGAGATGCCATGAAGGAATATAATGGAGACCATCGCGGCCTCTTATACCAAATATTTCATTCGACCTACCGAGCGTGATGCCAGGCGGGCATGACTCTTGGCCCGAGACCCTCACTGGCGCCCTGGTCTGGGCTCGCGGGACCCCGATCGTTTCTGCAATTAATAGTAGTACTGTACAGTGTAGTATGCACACTGGACAGGAGGTGGGTTGGGAAATGAAATGCATGCCAAGCTGGGTGTGGACTTCTGGTGCCTGCCAGACAGGGGTGGTCTAGTATCTAGTATGTAGTTATCTCCATGATGGTCTAGAAAAAAGAGACAGGAGACATGGACTACACTGGCATAACGTCGAAAATTGTACGTACTCCATCCGTACTGACGGTCGAACTCGAGGGGGAGAGGCACACAGGGTCATTCATGGGAATGGGGAATATTGTCGAAAACGTGCTCAAGCCCAAAGGCCAAGCTCCGGTGTCATGACAAGGCTGGCTTGGCCGGGCCGGGCTACTCTTGGCATGAGCAAGTTTCTGTTCTTCGCCGTCAGGGGGAAAGGATATGTATGTACTACTCCGTACTCTGTACATGTATGTGAACGGAGTAAGAAAGGATATGTGATATGTATGTAATACGGATACTCTGTACATGTACATATGTGTACGGAGTAAGTAAGGACATTGTATGGCCTAAGCTTAAGGTGCCCCTGATGTCGGTCTTGTTACTCACTCCCTACCCCGTAATTACCAGACCCGACATACAACGTTGCATGGGCAGGGCAGCCTTGAACTATACTGCTCATGTGCCGCGCGGGCCAAATACAATGGACAAGGCTGAGAAGGTCAAGATCAAGAAAAGACAAGGGACAAGGCTGAAAAGGTCAAGATCAAGACTAATTGCCCCTTTATTTCCTATGTACGGATAGGCATTGCAGGCACCGGAGAGAGCCGACTTTGGTATTTGGTATTTGCAAGCCACAGCCACAGCCACAGCCTTCCCCTGCTCACCACTGCCATCAATATCGACTCGACGCAACGCAGAGAGAAAAGAGAACACACAGCCACAGTCTTGGTTCTGTCAATATCGACGCAACGCAGAGAGAAAAGAGAAGACACCAGCCTGGTCCATTCCAACACTCCGACCCGTGCCATCTATCCTCCCCATCCAACCAAGGGTCTGATACTCGTTCACCCATGGGCACAACTTGTGGTCGGTCTCAGTCTCCGCTGACTACCTTAGCCACCGAGCTTCAGGAGAGGATGGCTGGCACTGTTTGACCGTTGCAGTTGCACGCTGGACACACCGACCGAGCTTAGCTTCATGTCTTTCCTCCCTTTCACCCGTACGTCCATCAGTCCATCAGCGTCAGCATGCATCTGTGTCAACCGTCAACCGTCATTCCAAACGATAGTTTCTTCCGGTTTCTGGGTCCCTGTAAGGATACTCAGGGTTCAGATATTCTTCTATCTCGTCCTCCACATCAAAACCGTGGTCAGGGTGGCTGGTGCGAGTGTCCTGGTAAACAACTTGACGGCTCATGCTCGCTGTGGCGTGTCCCATGCTAGATCCTGCACCGCCATCGTCAAACGGACCCTCATTCTCATCCTCATCCTTGTCCTCAGCCTTGCCCTTACCCTTGTCCTTATCCTTTTCCTCAGCCTTGTCCTCATAATACCGTCTCAACCTTAACTCCTCATAATGCTGTCTCAACCTTAACTCCTGATAAGCCTCCCGATCCAGCTCTCTGATACGGGCCTGATGCTTTCGTAGTGCATGCGAACGATCTACGCCCATAAATTGTGGGTATTGTCGCTTGACTGTGTCGGTATACTCTTTGGCATCTTCCAGCTTGCAGTTGTTGCACAATTCATCTCCCTCTTCAATCTCAGGCTCTGGGTTGTCTGTGGGATCCGAACACGGGTAAGGGTTACAGTATTCAATTTTGCTCTTCGGGTCCCCTAAGATAAGCTCCTTGCACCTTCGGCACCCTTCATAAACAATCATATTTTGACACATGGTTTCTTGTTTTCTGATTTCCTTGTTGAAAATCTCGTGGGTTTGTTGCAGCAGTTGAAGAGTGATCCGGGATGGGTTCTGCTTGCTGGTGTGCTGTCTTTCTGGTCCGATTTCGATGCCTTTGAGACAACGATATGCCTTGGAAGTTGGGCCATATATATACCTCTACTTTCTTGTCCCTTCACTGTCTCGTTGTAGGAGGCAGTCACGGCTCTGTTTGCCGTCGAAAGTCATCTAGGAGATGTGACTTGGACAAGAGATTAGAAGCTGCGACTGTGAAAGGTCCCAACCACAGACTGATGCCGGCAAGCAGCCTTCTGGACAGGGTATTCATTGTTGAAAGTGCAGGCCGAGGAGTCATGTCACCCGCAAACAAGCCCAGAGTCGATGTTGTGGAACGTCGAAGCTGGTTGAAGAAGTACTGCAAAGGCATCCTACCACTCCTCCTATCAACGCACTGTCAGTCATAGCCGCATTCGCATTCGGTTTTCAACGTCTTCCTCGACGAGACTGGCATCTGTCTTTCCCTTGAGTCGGTTGGTGACAAGGTGGCTCCTCCCTGAACAACTCCCACTTCAGACGGTGACATGCCCTGGCCTTTATGGTCACGAGCTCGCTTTCTTTCCTCTTGCTTTGTTCCCGTTTACTTCACTCGGATCTGCTCTGGTTTGCTTTGAGTCGGATATTGTAATTCTGACTCCAGCCTTGCCGTGCTTGGCTATGATTTGTGATATTCCAACCTCAGCCTTGTCCTAACTTGCCGTGAATTGACCTGTCCCGACCTCAGCCCTGCCCAGCACAACTAATGATCCCTATTCAGTTCCTGCCATGCTCATGTTTCTGCTCACACTGCTCACAGTTGTCTCGATAGTAATCCATCCATGTATGCCGGGGGACGACACCAGATCTACATTTCCCAAAGAAACCCAGAGCCGGAGCCGTCTTCGTTGCAGCTCCTCTTCGGACCGTGTTTGCGTCGGAGTTCTGACTTCGTGTCCCTTGGAGCTGGTAGGTGCGCTCGGCTTCAAAGCATAAGGTCTTGAAGCTGTGGTCGTCGCCAATGAGTTTTCCGCAGGTAGCACACCATCGGCGCGTGGATCCGATTTGGCACATTGCAACAAAGGCAAAGCAGGTCAGTCAGGATTTTCTCGGACTGAACAGGGTCGTGGACAGGTGGACAGGTGGACAAAGGGCGTGCAAGGTGTGGGAGATAGCTTTGCCAAAAAGGAAACGTTCATGGAGATTCTCCACCACCGCCGGGTGAGGGTTCGAAATGGCAAAGAAACGACCTGCGAACAGAGAAATAAACGCAACAGAACCGACTGATGGGTCTGCACCAGGAGAGGAGAAAAGAGGAAACGGGAGCAGTCTCAAGTGAAGCCCGTCGACACCCATGCAGCAAGTTCAGCGTCTAGCAAACACCCTGATCTCCATCTCCCTCCACTCCGGGGAGCATGTGCGTGTTCCAAACAAACAGAAACCTCAGCCTCGCGAGCCCGATCAAGGTGAACCCAGCCGCCCAATATCACTAACTCATCTTCTTGATGTACGGAGTACCTCCACCTCACTTACAGTCCTGGCCAGGCACGCGTTTTGCACTATGGCGACATTCTCTTTCATTCTACACGTCTTCCCATGGAGAACCCTAACTGTCAAATATAGATACATCTGTAAAAAGCGCCAATTCCGCAAGGGTACACTAGTCTCCAGAGACACAGAACAAACACGTATTCAACCACCACATTCTATGGCCTCGATCTAGCAAATCCATTTCTAGCCTGTCGGGGGAAACTCGCCACTCATGACTCGCCCAAGGGCTAAGTGATGCTGTCTCCGACATAAATCACTCCGAATCGCTAGAAACCAGATATATCAATCATGACACGGACGCTTGGCTTTTGCCGCGACTTTTCGAAGACGAGGACGCTTTTTTGGCCGGCTTTTGAGCCTTGGTCAGCACCTTTGGACTCGGCTTCGGCTTCTTCCCCGTTGTCTTCTTTTTCTTCTCTCCAGGAAGGTCCTTGGCGTGGAGCTTAAGCTCAAACTCAGCCAGTGTAGACGGCGACGCGGTAGGATCCTTGCCCAGACGGTCCGCCAGCTCCAAAGCCGTTTTCGTCAATGTCGTGACGTCCGTCGGCGTCAGGGGAGGGGGTTGCAGCAAAGACCGCTCAGAAAGGCAAAGTTCTTGCCGCGTCGCCTCAGTGCCGGTCAATGTGACATGATCCAAGCAGAACTTGACGGTCTCATGATTTCGTTGCTTCCCAGCAGAGTCCACATCCAGGCCGACGGCGATCTCGCGGGAGTCAACATCCATGACATCGACTGTGCGGAGAATGTACGCAATCGACTCTTTCTTGGTGGCCACGGTCTGAGCGACATGCTGTTGTTGAAACGTCTTTCCTTGCTTAACAGCACTTTCCACCTTATCAGCGATTCCTTTCATCCTGTCATCCAGGGGCAAGGTAATAAATGGTTGGAAGAGCCAGTCAGTAGGCTCATCGGCCTCTGCTCGTGAGAAGTATCCCTTGATGGTACGGAGTAGAGATGTATAGTGTTGGTTCTTCTCGGATCCTCGATACAGAAGGTCCTGTCTGAGCTCCTGGGTGACTGTGACATCCACGTCACGACTCGGGCAAAGAATGGTAAATGATTTTTGTTGGTGCACGGCCGAAATCTTGGCGATGTTCAGCGGGGGTCTTTTACCCTCAAGCGAATCTCCTGAGGTGACAAAGGCTTCAAATGTAGGCCAATATTGAGAGTGCGGTCCGTTGTATATCGGAGAGAACTCGAGTCGGAGAGTGACACGGGCATCGGGATCAATATCCTTCGCGGTTGTGGATGTACCCTGGTTCCACTGCTTAATGAGTGCAAGTTGCTGGACCAGATATGGGATCTGGCTGGTGAGTGATGGGGTTGGAAAGGTACTTGGGGCATTCGAGTTGACCGCGCCTGACACCCGTTCGTTTCCAGCTGCGCTCTTCAGATGGAGTGATGGCCCCTTGGAAAGCACATCGGCAGATGCTTCGCTTGCCTTGCCAGTGTTTTCCATGTCCTCACTCCTATCCTTCGACTTGCTCACAGACGGTGATGGCGATTCAACCTCTGATCTCGTTCTTGTATGGGGAATCCTAGCCTGTGGCGGCTCTCGGAACAATGCCTGGCCAAATTTTGCGGTTGTATGGTAGTGTAACTCATGCCGCGGCTTCGGCTTCTTGACCATGCTGGCGGCATTGAGCCAATCCCGGATTCTGCTGAGCATGGTATCCAGTAACGTTATGCGTTCGTTATCAGGATGGCGTGTACGCGGAGGTGGAGTGTCAATGGCAGAGTTGACGAAACGAGTCCATGGTAGCTGCAGGAGGCCCCTAGAAAACTCGGCGGGGCTGGGAAACGGCTGAAGAGAGCTTGACTCCTTACTCTCCGGTGGCCATACTTCAATTTTATGGGGATCATCTTCTGTTTCCACTGCGAGCCGGATCACGCGATGAGCTTGTTGTGACAAACGATGATTTTCGTTGTGGACAATCTTAATGTGATCAGATGTTAAAGCAATCTGCACATCAAACCTTTGCTGAACGGAATCCAGGAACGGTCTGACGAGGTGTTTCAGGGCTGGATCTCGGTAGGTCTCGGCCATGGCTCCTCGAAGTGGTACCATGATGGGTTGAAGATCCTTCACCACACGCGAAATCCGTGCCAGCGCGGCCGCGGCATTTGCAGTGGTGCCGGCAACTCTGATCCTAGATTCCCGTCGAAACAAGTCGATCTGGACATCGAGTTCCTCTGCGATTCGCTTCAATGGCTGGCCGCGGTCTTTCAGAAGGTGATCGAGTTTGGCTTCATCTGGGACATAAAGGCTCAAGCTCCGCTGTCTCTGCTTGGAGCTCTTTTCCGTCACAGGAACGGTGAACCCCCAGACCTCTTCAACCAAATATTTGATCGTGTCCGGCTTGTTCTGTCTATTGACACGGTGGAAGGCATCGGTTGACAATGACTTCTTGCGCTTGTACGCGATATAACGCCTCATCTGGTCGAGTTTGAATCCCTGGGCCAAACTTGATCGGAGTATTTCCCACTCCTTGACCTCTAATTGCCCGCGCTTTTTCTCGATGCCCGAAGACCGGACGACTTGCTCGATGTTCGCCATCAAATCTTGTATGCTCAGCGGTGCTTGCTCCGAGGCGAGTGATTCCTGCACGCTCACCCTGGCTTTGTTTTCTTCATCTTTCGGGACCTGTGGTATGCGGCGGTCTCGGGATGGAAGAATCAGCACCTCCGCCGGCTTGCCCAAGGAATTGACTCCCAGATTGGCCGTCTTGCTCGGACGCCATCGTCGAAAGCGGTAGGATCTCTCCGCGACTGGTTCGGAATTGGAGGTGCTCGAGGACAGGTCAGTGTTTTCCGGTTGACCTCCGTCCTGATGGTCATTGTCGTCGTCTTGTTGGATTTGAACTGCTGAATGACCCCATCGCCGGCCTGATACAAAGGTGGAAGGATACGAGGGAGCCTCCAGAGGGCCTCTGTCGGTCAACAGTCTTCGCTGGCATCTGAGGCAGACGTGGGACAATCCGGCCGTACGTGCTAACATATAGACGTTGGAATCAGGGCCATGAATATGGAACGACCGCTGGAGGCTAGGTGGGGGTTTCCGAGTTGGCGACTAGCATAGAACAGCAGCCCGATACTGCTACTATCACAGTAAATGCCAACTGGCGCAGGCTTGTCCGTCGACGATGATGGTGGAATCGGTACCACTGCAGCTTGAACTTGACTGGGTGAAGATCAAAGTTGCAAGGGCCTCCAAGAGGCTTGGCGGCAGCCGATGGGCCTGCCAGTGAGCTTCAGCCTCGTCTCATCCCGAGAGGCAGCCTTGCGCCGGCTGCCCGACGCGCACCGCGAATACGATAAAGATACCCGGCACACAAATTCTTACGAGGATGGTCTCTTGTATACACCCCACTATATTTCATCTTTAATTTACCTGGACCTGCCAACTGCGTAGATCATCCCTCAGCTCAAACTCGGTGCGCTCATGGAACTCCGGGCGATTCCGCCGTCGGTGTTCCTGCTGGCTGGCGTGCACCTGCTGATCTATGCTTGACCGTCCACTGACCGTGTTCATCTGGTTCGGTTGGACCTGCGGTGATTCCATACTCCTCCCTCTTCGATGACCACGGGTTGCCGGTTGCGGGGTCACCTGCTGGCCCGGAGTGGTCGGCCTGGTGGTCTCGTCGCTGGAGCTGCTGAGCATGCTCGCTTCTCTCGGATTGGATCTGGAGTGCTGATTCGACTTGGGGATCGCAGGGACTTGACCTCCGTCTCCTCCTGCAAAGATATCTTCGACTAGCTTGTCAGGAGGAAGCTCTCCTCCTTGACAAGCCCAGCTGGCGGCCAATGTCCGTCGGTAGAAATCCTGGGCCTCGGACAGTTCTCGAGTTTTACTGTTGATGCTGGGGATGTCATCTCCTTGTCCCACCTCTGCGGATAAGACTCCTGCAATCCCTCCGATCACCATGGCGGACCTGAGCGGAGGCGCGATGAAATTGGTATCGCCCTCGGTCTGTTTCATTTTAATCCCAATCTTCAAAGTGCTGTTGACCTTGCTGTCTTGTAGTAGGTACCTCCTCGTGATGGCTCCATCATCGCCCTCCTCTTGCAGATCGCGATCGCCGACTTCGTCGGGCGGGTGAGCATACTCGGCAAGGTTGAGTTTCACGTTTCCCAGATGGACTCGACTTCCTCTTCCGCCTTGACTGAACTCTTGCAAGACCTCAAAATGTAGGCTTCGTTCTTGTAGCATGCCACTTTTGTCGACGGTGAGGCGAACCGAGAATTCCTTGGTGTAGTCCCATGTTGCCTTGTGCTCAACGATGGAGGCCTTATCCGTGCGGCCACGATGTTCTGCGGCACTAGAGGACGCGATGTGCCATCGGACGTCGGCAGTTCCGTAGATGAGAGGGATGTTGGTCAGGTCGATGATGCGGAGGGTAAGATCGAACTTGGGCTGGATACGCCAGATTCAGTCAGTGCACATGCTTGCAGTTTAGGATAGACAGAACATCGTACCTTTCGATTCTTCGGCACTGTAAAGGTGAGGTTGTTCAGCGCTTGCTTCCGCAGCATGATCCTCGCGGGGATTGCGCAGGGCCCATGATGGGGGAAAGAGAGAACTCACCAAAGGCCTGCATGGTGGCAACGTCACTTATCAGTGGTTCAAAGCGAACACGCTCAGACTCTCAGTGGATTCCATCCAGTTCCGGTCTGAAAATTGACGCAGCATTGCGTACTGCGCACGCGAGGAGGGGGATGGCGATAATAGCACAATAGTGCCCTCAGCACTGACAGGAGTGGGACGCAAAGATACATAAACTGGCGCCTGGACCATCGCCGGCCACTTGGGTGGTTCGCGGATGGTTCGGTTGAGGGGCTCCTAAGGCTAAGGGGTCTGGGATCGGTTGGCTGGCTAATAAGGCTGGTTCACTGGTGTACGGTTGACTTTATTAGGCTTCTTCGGCCGGCGATCGATGTCTACCTCTTAGGTGCCTCTTGATTACCCCCTTAGTCAGCTACAAAAGCATGCCAATGGGAGTCAACGGAATGAGGTTGTCTCGAGGCTATGTATCTCTCCTTACAGTTCCAAACACGCTCCCAAACCACAAATCTAATGGCCCTTGCTAGTAATAGAACATCTAATAGTAGTGGGCGCGCCGGCCTAGAACTTATGCACTTCTTCCTTCGTGTACCCTAGCTCCTTCAGAACGCCTCCGAGGGAACCCTGGGTCCAGCCAAAGCCACCTTTGGCGCCAGCGACACTCTCAACCATGGGCGGTGGGCCGCTGACCAGCACCTTGGTTTGGCCTCCAGTCGATCTGGGTGGGATCACTTTGCTCAGAAGCTCCTTGGTCACGTAGCCCTTCTCATAGAGGCCTTCGTTTTGGGGTGTGGTTTTGCTGACGGTGTAGAGTCGGGTGAAGCGACCGGGATACTTCTGGGCCAGTTCGTCGAATTCATTCTTCAGCAGAATGTCCTCTTCGGAATTGTTGGCATAGACGAGGGCAATCTTGGTCTTGTCGTCCGGGTTGTTGAGGATGGCCCTGGTCAGCTGATAGAGGGGAGTAATACCCGAGCCTCCGGCAATTAAGGTCACCGCCGAGAACTGGTTGGGCTTATAGTCGAACTCGTGCAGCGGCTTGAACAGGAGCGTATCTCCAGGCTTCAAGGAGTGCATCTTGCCGGATCCCTTGCCATTGGGGTATTTTTTGACCATGAATGTCACGGTGCCGGCTTGATCTGTGGCATTCGGTCAGTACGCCCCCTGGCAAAATGTAAACAATGACATACCATTGTCGCTAATAGGCGTGTAAGGTCTGAAGACGGGAACCCATGCGCCTTCAGGTGTATGTCTGGTGAGAAGGGATGCTGCACGAAGGGTCGGTCAGTGGCACAACTTGTGCGTTCATCCTGTGGGCAACCATACTGATAGGGGGAAGGCCAGTGATAGATTGATCGTCGGGCAGCGCGAAAGTCAGTCGTCGAACATTGTGGTTGACGCTCTCGGCGCTTTGCAGCTTGAGCTCGGTGAATCCCTTCCATTGCACCTTCTTCAAGGCTGCCTGAGAGTCTGAGGGCAGAGACTCGGCATGTGCTGTGCTGAAGAAGAACGAGGTGGTATTCCAATACTGGTGGCCAACGTAGGCCACACTCGCTCCGGCGGCAGCGGCCCCGGCTACCTTGAGTGAAGGGCGGAGGTATGCAGCCATTTTAGCTCGACGGTAACTAAGCAAAGAATGAAGTCAAGGTTCAAATTCCGTCAAAGAAACTTCTCATACAGTTCACTCTTGAGCGAGTTGTCGGCGGGCACTCTCTGAGTGATAAGTGTGCGAACAGTTGAAGCTCTCAACAAATCGACGGAAGAAAGGACGACGTATGTACGGAGTACCTCAGACTGCAAGGAGCAATTCCGTGCCGGAGTTAGTAAGGGGAGGGTCCAGTGTCGGAGCCCGGTTGCACCGACGTCCAAAAGCTTTGAGCAGGGCGAAATGTAGCGTGAGCCTTGAGGCACTCACCTAGAAGTGAGCACTACTGGCACTGGGGCCCCTTAAGAGGCTCCTTACGACCGTCGCCGACGCGGAGGCAGCAGTCGCCGGGTGACGCCTAGTACTAAGCAGTGGCACTATGTCTTCGGCTTCTAAAAATACCGAGTCCCCTCTTGGCCCAGGCCCAGCTCAACGAAAGTACGAAGTACGTTTAGTATACACCTTCGCCCTTTGCGTGGCTGGTCCAGCTATAGATTCTCAAGGAGTCGTTGGCGTCCTCTTGGTTTTGCTTGCTTGGAGGTACTTACATATGAAAGAATGACCTGGGACCCTCGCTACCCAAAACCTCAGCCTCGTAGGCCGCTTTCTAAGGACACACTCCTAGCCGTTCATCAAAGCACCCTCACCGTCGAGTGAGCCCCTACGCTCAATTGATGTGAAAATCAACAGTCTCCTGAACATGCCGGAACAATCTCTTCAGGCCTGTCTTTGTCAAAGGAGCCCACCAATTGTCCGCCGTTTGCGTCTGTGTGTGTATAAGCTAGAGCTCAAATATCAATCGCAAAACTTTTGAAATATTAGGGAGCATTCCCCAGCCTCATCTACAAGCCTCCACTGTCTAGTCTATATAGTCAGGGTGGCCCCCTGGCCCTAATGATAGAGAACGGGGATTTCGTCGACCCTACTTGGAGAAAAACGAGCTCTTCTTCACATTGATGAGATATTGACGGACCAGAAGATGGATTGCATTATTATACGCCCAACTTCCACTCATGCGTTTTTCGTCGTGGCCTGCGAGAGACTAAGTGTCACTTGCAATGTCATCTGTATGACCAGACGCCGGATGACTTGACCCGGAATGGCAGTCAATTGACATGCATAGACCGCAATTCCTCTCCATGCAACACACCAACAGAGGGTACATGCACAAAGACCTTCTGTGTCTCTTCTGCATCCACCTCTTGCATCATTGTTCTGACCACATCATCCCGTCCCCGATCCATAGTACTCCGTACTCATCGAGGAGACTACTCCCAGTGCGAATTCTGGAGACCGCAGGTGATCCCTGCTAGATCATGATTCTCTTGAGGAAAGGTCGACAAGCGGTCATCGATACGAAGTCCCGGGCGCCCAATCCTGTGACTCAGGAGTACAACCGTTGACGCAGTCAAGAGGCGCGGTAGATGCTCGGAGGGGTGCACGACACTAGACTTGGTGAAAAAAACGGTTGATCGGTTCCGCGGCAGCTGGAGGAGGTCGTGACCCCAAGACGTTCTCGTATCATGACGGACGTTCAGTCAAGTACGGAGTACTGGGTGCGAACAAGAGGAGTGTCTGATGGCTGATGGAGGGTGTTTGGTTCTTTTCCACGTGACCCTCGGGCAAACCCGAAGCCAGCACGGCGATCCGTTGCTTGACAGACCCAACACAGCCACACTACGGCGCTAGAGTACCTATACATATCCGTAATACGTATATGCCCAAGAACGGCCACAGCCACAGCCACAATCGCAGCCATCGACCCGTTCTCGATCAGCACTGACATGGAAACACCGCAGTCCCACAGCTGCATCTCATTTTTTGACCTGCATCATCTAGCAGGGCCGTTGTCCCCATCGTCCTTGTTTGGGACATACTGTCTGAAACATGCACCACATGGGTCCAAACGCAACAATCGGCGGCTGCTGAACCTTGTATCTTGGTCTCTTTCGATGGCAGCAATAGGGTTGCATACTACGGAGTACTGTCTGTCACATGATGTTGGGCGATAGCAAGTCGAGGGGCCGCGTGTCCAATAAGCTGGCATAGCAGGGGTCTTTGCCTGGTGTGCCACACACTTATCCACTGCCAACGACCAATGCATTTGCAGAAGTGCCTTCCGACCATGACACCTCAGCTCTCTCCCGCCAGCTAAGCCGGGCGGATTTGTGACCAACAGCCAAGATATGCCAACGACTGGTCATGCTGTCGTTATCATCTTCCACTCATCAAAGACCTAACTTCGGGCGGGACGACCTCGAGCTGGTCTAAACGGATCGCTGCGTATTCTGTACTGTTCCTGCGCAAACTAGAATTCTTTGAAACACGCGAGTCGTACCACTTGCTCGGGTCTGCAAATGACATTGTCGGTGGTGTAGGGTCCCCCTCCCTTTTGAGACGGCGGCGAACCAGTTGGGATGACAGCGGCGACAGAAGCGGCAGACACTAGGCATGCTTCTACGAGTGCGCCAACTGCGTGCACGGTAGAGGACTTGCCTCCTCCAGCCTCCGACAATGGCAGATGATGCTACGGATGTTGTGGTTTCAGGAATCCAGGAGAGCCGTTGACTTTTGCCCTCTTGAAGTCTTACTAGGGCCTGTCTATGGTGCTAGGTCTCAGGAAAGGTTGATTGGGAGGTCCGAGGACCACCCCGAACCATAGGATACACTTATCCGCGAGAGAAACGAGGTGCTAGGATTGGGGAATAATCCCATGTCTTCTGTTGTCCCAGGAGCTGGGTAATTTATTCCTTCTGGAAGGGAAAATCACCGTAGTCACGCTTCTTTCGGGCACAGCCGTCGTTAACAGGCGGCTTCTGAAGGCACCTGGCACCGGGACCGTTGGATGCGCTGATCGAGACGCCACTCAATGTCGGCAGACCAGGGTCTGGGGGAGGTGGATCGTGGGCGTAGGGCGAGGCGGGTACAAATTTCGCGCATAGGGAGGGGGTTTGACGAAATCTTGGTCAAAACTGATATTGGCAATCATCACAACGTGCGCCTAAGCCAACGTGGGTGGTTTCGAGAAGAATCGCTGCTGGAAGCGGCCACCAGTAAGAGGCCAAAGTTGGACAAAACCGGACAGACAGGGAGCAAGGACCAGGGGGGGTCAGGCTGCTGATCTTGCATATGCAGGCTAATTCTTTTTTCTGGCGTTGCGTTGCAGCTGGGAGGGAACAGGAAGGGAAACCGGCTGAACTGGAACATGCCACAGCCGTGTCATGGAGCGGCCAGTCAGGTGGCCTCGCGGGTTGAACGGCTGAACAAGGAAGTTGTCGAGGGTGCAGTAGCGCAGATGCACCGTGCAGCTGTAGCGCAGGAATTGTGTAAGTTTGACGATGGCAACGGAGTAGGAGAGACAGGCGAGGCAAGGGCGTGGAGATGTGTGGACGCTGTCATTTTGGTTAGTTTGGTCAAGAGGAGTATCATTAGTAGGAGGAGCATGCTATAGTATGGAATAGGGATACAGGAGGACAGCTTGACGGGGTGGATGGATGAAGCAACAATGAGCCGGCAACGGCAATGTGAGGGCGCAGTTGCAGGGGGGGAGCAAGGCGAGGCCGACGGAAAGCGAAGAACCGCGGGTGGTGATGATGATGCGTGCAGACAGGTACGGAGTACGTATACGGAGTCTTAGTGCACGACTATTCTAGTACGCACTCCAGCTCGCCTGCGCCGGCAGAGGCTGTGACCTGCAACCTGCACCCTGCAACCTGTGACCCGCATCGCTGTCGCCTCCTCCGCCTTCGCCTTCCGGCCATCTTCCACCGCAGTCTGTAGGTAAACTTCAAGGTGATTACCACTGCTACCACTGCTACCACTGCTACCGCTGCTAATTACACCTACACCTATCGTTCGAGCATGTCACCACTGCCCCCCGCTGACTCCGACAGGTCTTGACTCCTCCGCCCACTGCACACTGGCACGGGCACTGCAGACCTGATCCGCCCAGACCTCCAGGCTGCTCGACCGGGCCCCATCCAACTGCATATCGCCTACTGCGCCTGACCGGCCAGGTCCCATCTTTAGCTCTCCCACCACCCACCTATCACTTCCTCCCATGACCTCTTTTCTCCCATCCTCTTGATATAAGGTACGGCTCTCTCCTGCTCGACTCTCTCCTTGCCCTTTTCGTCATCCCCGCCTGAATCCGCCCGCCGCCTCTCTCCCTCGAACCCTTCCCTCCATCAACACCTCCCCCCCAACCCTATATCTCTACAAGGCGCGCAAGATATCCCTCGTGGGACTACCGGGATCAGACCTCTATCTCTTGGCCTTTACTCTTACTTCCTCTCGTTATATTGTCTTCTCTGCTTCTTCTTATCCCTCGGATGTCCCCTGGAGACGGGTCCCCCACCAAGTATCAAAGTCAAGTCAGCCAAAAGAATAACTCATAATGCCGGCGGTGCTATTACTACCCGCTTCTGCTGCTGCGTTTGCGCCGCGATCAACGTGCAATGTCGTTCTCAACACCAAAGTCGAGCCCTGGTTAACCGCCACCCTCAAGCGAACCAACAAGGTCAAGCGACCTCTGAACAGCGTCACTCAACACACCCGGTGTCTGACCGAGACGCTGTCCTCGCCCAACGCCATCTGGTCGTTGTGTTCCATCATGGTGCCGAAAGCACCCGAGACGGAATTGCGAAAAGACTCGAACCCGCTGGTGGAGGCTTTGTTCAATTACCAACTAATCCACATTGAGGCGTACGTGGTCCACGTCGACATGGTCTCTCAGAACGAGGTCGCCTTCAAGCTGACGACAGACACCATCGATTCGCTGGTCGAGTATCACAAAGAGGTCTTCTCCGTCGACACCGCCGCCAACACCTGGACCTGGTCGGAGAAGGAGCAACAACTGAAGAAACTGCACGAGGAGTTTGTGCAGGCTGCCAACAAGTTCATCTTTCGCACGAGCGCACTCGTTCTCGAGGGCATGGAGGAAGGAGGGGCGGGAGAGCTGCTATGTGGCAGAAGTGAAGATGTTCGCGCCTCCATCATGGGCCTCTTCGTGCCACTTCTCCCTCCGCCTCCGAGGATTGTGGATGTCATTCGGCCTACTCCTCTCCTGCCCAGCTCTACGGGCGTTGAGCAGTGGTGGCCATCCCAACATCTGCACGCTATCCCGAGCGCCCCCGTGGAACCGTGGAAGATTATCCCCTCGAGTCCAAGCCCCGTCTCTTCCTGTGATTCCGGCCACAACATGTGGTCGAGCATGGGTGTTAACGAGATACAACTGCCATCGCCCACTCCTTCCTTCAGCCAACCCTACTCTTCAGCTGCGTACAGCGCTCCTCAGTACTACAGTGCACCGGCTTACAGTGCTCCAACGGCCGTCTCGTCATTTCAGGCCCTTCCTCTCCCCAGCATGTTGGCTCAACAGCCATGCAGTACTTCTGCAAGCCTGAGCACGTTCGGTTGGGATCGATACCAGGAATATACGATGCCATACGCAACCGCCATGTGATGGACGACCAGTTCCGTTGATCAGTGGCAATTTGCACAGATTCCGGGGCGCTCGATTGAAGAACGAAATCGTGGTCGACCGGTCGACAGAAGACGGTCAACATGGCTAGCAAAACCTTCGGCATCTGCATACGGAGTTATTGACTTTTAGCGACACAAGGATACCACTCTGCATTGATATAGGACAAGGGGGGATAATACGGGGGTATGATTGACTTCAGCGAGCGTCAGTTTTGTTATGTCTCCTTTTGTCTAGTCGTGTGATTTTTGCAATCCTCCAGCGGCAGGTCGGCTGGTTGAAATACATGATATCCCTGGGTCGGGTACAGTCCCACAATTTCGCAAGATCGGAATGCCTCGCGGCAGGTTTGCAGGTTGGGATACATGCTGATATTTCCGTTTGGAAAGGCCGAGGTGGCTGTCATGCCTTACATCGGCTGAGGCCAGTCCTCATCGATACAAGATGTGACCACCTGTTTGTACCTGGTTGTTTTGCCCACTGGCTGGGCACAACCTGATATGAACAACGGCAGAGGTGGCAAGGCATTTCATCTGGTCATGTAATGCCTGCTGCCTTACCACACAACATGTGCTTGGGAGGCTGAGACAGTCTTCTTGCTGTCGTACGCACGTCGGTCTCACGCCTGTGGCGGGGGGCGACCACCAGTCTCGTCTGTGACTTGAATGGGCGACGACGACAACACGACTTCTATGGCTCCCAGCATGAAGAGTGTGGTTTATAGGTTCATCTCCTATATCTTCGGCCTGGTGTCGAAGAAGCCCTCGATCCACTGAGTGGAAGGGAATTGGATGCTGGCACTTGAGGACAATTGCTCCGACAAATAAAGATAATCTAAAACAAATGCAAATACCTATCTTTCAGTCATTCTTCATCTTCTTCCACTGTCGTGCTCTGCTGTGTGTGTGTACACTGTACAGCCCCTGACGATGAGATCTGGAGATCTCGGCTGGGCGGAGTGGCATGCAAACTGCAGTATTACTATTACTATAAGGCACTGTGGGTGGTACTCACCGAGGTACTGATAATATTACCTACTATTACTACTATTAGCAGGGGTAGCCGACCAGCAACCAGTGACGTGCATGATGACGATGTTGGAGAAACTCCCGAGCTCCCTGCACTTCCGAGACCAACTTCTGCTAGCAATGATACCGTAGGCTCCCAAGGCCTTAGCCATCCGCTTACGATAACTTGCCAGTTGCTCTGTCATGATGAGATATCTCGGTGTTGGCGAATTCCTCTTTTTAGTTCCCTCCTGCGCCTGTGTTTCCTCTGGTCTGCATTGATTGCCCAGTGTCAGGTCTTGCTCTCGGCCGCAGTTAGACACGCCTCATTGCCCCTCCTACACCACCATGTCTGCTGCATAAGAGCTGCGACTTTCCCGTTCAACTGGACCAGCCTCGTGCCACCGGCGCGGCAAGGTCGTTCCTATCATGGCCGACCTTCATTCGGCCTTGAAGGCGCTGGCTCCTTGCAACTTCTCCGACATTCCACAGCAGCCGGATGAGCTTGATCGGTTCATGGCAGATTTGTTCGAACAGTCCCAATGTGTCGTCGAATCCATACCTATCCCTGACCCCGATCCTTCTCTCCAACGAGATCGTGCACATACGGCTGGATATGTGGCGTCCAACGCCTCGGAGATTGCCCCATCGCCCGCCAGAAGTCCTCCGCCTGCCCCCAAATATGCGGCTCTGCAGAAAGAGTGGGGAAAGACGGTCAAGCTTTCTCCCAAAGAGAATCCCCTGGGCCTGTCTGTGTACAAACTCGCTGGCAAAGATGGGAAAGGGGCCTGGTTCGCCAGGAGAAGTGTGCATGAAGGGCTAGGGTTCAGTCGCTTCAAGCGGGCATTTGAGCGCGAATTTCCCACGTCCTTGGATGTGAAGGGGGCCCCAGGCGAGGGAAACATCAGAGGCATTGGGGCGGAGACGCGGGTGGAAGACATTACGGTTCCAAACCGGGGCAAGATAGAGGTCTACCAGCTCAGTGCCCAATTCCCAGGACCAACGACACCCAGGGACTTTGTCACACTTCTCGTCACCTCATCCAGGGCGATCAAGCCCTATGGCGAGGCACAAAAAGTCCCTGAGCTGGCGCCACGACATTACATGATTATTTCCAAACCCTGCAACCACCCAGAGACGCAACCTCGGGATGGTTTTGTCCGTGGTCATTACGAATCCGTCGAGTTCATTCGGGAAGTTCCCAGAAAGCTCAAAGCCACGATATCCTCCACAGATCTGTCACGTCTCAGTCATGACAGAGCATCGTCGCCATCCGGTGCAAAGGCGGATATCCCTTCTCATCATAACACCCAGCAACACGACGACAAGCATTTAAGAGTCGACACGCAAGGATCGGCTATCAGGGAATTGTCTCCATCAGGCAGAAAGAGAAGCGCCACAGTCGGGGTCCCAACTAGCCCAAGCAAAGCTGAAGATCCGGGTGAGCATTATGATCCTGAACAAAATCCTGTCGAATGGATCATGGTTACTCGTAGTGATCCAGGAGGTAGCGTGCCGCGGTTTATGGTTGAAAGAGGTACCCCTGGCAGCATCTGCGCGGACGCTGTGAAGTTTCTTGACTGGGCATGCCAGCGCGAGGATGATGAGGAATCTTTGGACACCGCCGGTGCGAGGCCTGATGGGCACCGGCGGGAGAGTTTCCCAAGCTGGGAAGCCAATGGCACTCTTGCTGGAATCAGAGAGCATGAAGGAAGGCTGTCGACCATTGCTGACGACCAGCCGCAACCGTCCACATCCGATGCGACTGCAGCCGAACAAACGGGGTCAACCAAGCAAGGAAACGTCCCTTCCCCAGAGCACTCCACCGCGTCGCCCTCGCATGTATTAGAAGCCGTCGCTGCAACTATTGGCGCGTATGCACCTCAGGTCATCCGTGACCACCTTCCGAATGCAACCGAAAAGGGAATGCCCCTACCCGGGGCGGAACAATCCGATGAACAGCACAGCTTGTCAAGAGTCGATATTCCAGAAGGCGATAGCGGCGGCAGTAGAGACTATGACGGATCTTCCACCGTTTCGGCCGCGTCCTTCGCTTCTGCTGATTCACATCTTGATTCCGACGAATCGCCTTCAGTGTCTTCAAAATCCATGTCCAATACCCCGGAAAACCAACTTCTTCAGCAACATGACAAGGAGATCGCGAAACTCGCTGAACGTAAGGCTGCCATGGAAGCAAAATTCGCGCAGCAGAAGGAGAAAATAAACAGCCAAGCTAGCAAAGAGACAGAAAAGGAGCAACAGGCATTAAAGAAGGCCGAAGCCAAACACGAACGAGAACTGAGGAAACAAGAGGAGAAGTTTCAGAAAGAGCTCGCCAAGTTAGAGGAGAAGAAGAAGAAAGAAGCCAAGAAGATGGAGGAGAAGAAGCGGAAGCAAACCGACAAAGATGAGAAAGCCCGTCTGACCCGGGAGCGGGACGAGGCCAGAGCCGAGCTCGAATTATTGAAAAAGGAGCAAGAGATCTACATGCGACAAATCGGCGAGCTACAGAAGGAAAACACAATACTGACGGCGCGCATTGGGAAGCTCGAGGGCAGTGGATCGTCTCTTGACAGCCCACCGGGCGGACCTCAGCGACTTAGAGCCATGACCATGGCACAAGAAAGCCCAAGCAGGAGCTCGAGCCTTTTAGGTCGGACAAAGAAGAACAACGGCAACAAGTCAGACATGAGCAGCGATGGGCCATGAACGGGTGGCATGGGTGGACGATGGATCTATGAACGAACCCCAGCAGGAGAATTCAGGGCCGATTTGGGTTTGATAAATGTCCAATGCTAGCAGCATGGGCTACTATCTTCTTTATGTCTTATTCGCGTCTCTAGCGTTGAGCGAGATCGGGCAAATGCTGCTTACGGTAGATGGTCCAAAAATGGATGCCTCCCACAATGTCTGTCTCTCTTGCTTCGCGAAGCCTAAGCCTTTCAGCATAAATTTGGGTCACGTGCCGAACGCAGCCTTGGTCCCACTAGAGAGCAGGTGGCAGGCAGTTAACTTTCCATTCACCCATGAATATTCCACATCCCATCTTTCTCATTTCCAACATTCCCGCTACGGTTAGGCTGCAGATGAAGTGAACGGCCATCCACCTCTGAGCCGACATGAGATAGCATATCTCTGGGCTGGTCGCCATGGCGGACATTTCCGGCCACGTCCTCTGCTGACTTGCGTTAGGCTGCGCCCTGAGTAGCAATGCTGCTCGCAAAGACAGTCTCTGACCATCAGACACGCATCGGACCTTGAAAACCTTCGTGACCGCTATAAAATGCCGTTGCCCCACGACAGACCGATGCCATCCTACTGGCTCTCCTTCTCGTCGGACCTGTCTAAGCATCGAACCACGGAGACTGTCCCGCAAGAAGCAGACGTGGTGGTCGTTGGCTCAGGGTATTCGGGAGCGGCGACCGCCTACCATATCTTGGAAAATGATGATGGCAAGCGAACTAGAGTGGTAATTCTTGAAGCGCGGGATGTGTGCTCGGGAGCCACGGGGCGCAATGGTGGGCACGTCAAGCCAGACCTCTACTTCAACGCAAGCCTCTATGAAAAGAGATTTGGACCGCGGGCGGCCGAAGCACTCACAGAGTTTGAGACACAGCAGGTTATGGAGGTCAAGAAACTGGTCGAAAAAGAGCAGATAGATTGCGACTTTGAACTGGTGCGAGCACTTGACGTCTTTGTGGACAGTCGGGTAGCCGGACCTACGGTTGCAGCCTACAAGAACATGAAGGCCAACGGTTATCACTTCCCAGATGATCTACATTTTGTTTCGGACCCAAAGAAGGCCGAGCAGGTTTCCGGAGTCAAGGGTGCTCTGGCGGCATTTTCACACACGGCCGCCTCGATCTGGCCGTACAAGATGGTGACGCATCTCTTGCATCGTTGCTTGGGCTGGGGGGCGAATCTTCAGACTAACACCCCTGTACTATCAATATCAGATCTCTCCGACGGCTCCGGCCGATGGAGGGTAAAGACACCGCGAGGAGAAGTCGTGACGAAGAAGGTGGTCGTGGCTGCAAATGCCTATCTTTCCGCACTGCTGCCTGAGTTCAACGACAAGATCATTCCAGCAAGGGGTATCGTGTGCAGGATTGCGGTGCCCGAGCAGGGGAAAATGGCTCCACACCTCAACAATTCGTACAGTATTCGGTACGGTCCTCAAGAATATGACTACCTAATCTCGCGGACAGACGGCAGCATCATCGTCGGAGGCGCGAAACAGAAGGTCTTGCTTGATGATGCATACTGGCACAACAACACCGATGACTCACAACTGATACCGGGAGCAGCGAACTACTTTGACGGGTACATGCAAAGGTTATTCCACGGCTGGGAAAATAGCGGTGCCAAAGTGACGCATACCTGGACTGGCGTCATGGGCTACTCTTCGGATCTGATGCCTTGGGTTGGGGAAATGCCTGGAAAGCCAGGCATCTACGTGACGGCTGGGTTCACGGGTCATGGGATGCCTCGAATCCTGGGCTGTGCGACCGCGATTGCGTCTCTCGTACGCGGGGATGTCCAATACTTGAGTGAAACCAAGATCCCCCCGCCGTATTGGATCACCAAGGACAGGCTGCGCGTGAAGAAGAACATCGCCCGAGAATACATGGCAGGCTCGCGGCCTTCCCTGTGAGTCCGAGAGGTCTTACCAGAATACGTTAGTACCAAGCCAAGTCGAACGTTATGGGTTCCAGGCAACCGCAGGCCCCCGCCTCAGGAGTAGCAGCTATACAGTAACTATAAATATAGATCGATCCCCCAGGCGGACTTCTGTCTCTTCGACACACCTTGTGAAAGCAGGCCTGGTCGTCAATTGATACGGGTGTTTGTCTAGAGTGCACAATGGTCCCCACAGTCATCAACATCGAAGGTTGTGCAACCATCAGCACGGTTGCCGAGCGCGCTACTCTCCTCGTCGGCGTCTTCGACTCTGGATATGACAAGGACTCAGTCTCCAAGAACGTGGTGAATACGGTCAACAGCCTGCAGGCAGAGCTCGACCTACTCTGCCCTCGTCTTGAGAATGGAGACATCTCACCCGAAGCTCCTGTCAGCTTCTTCTCGATCTCGAGCCTAACCACGTCAAGCCGCGAGGAGCGCGCCGAGGATGACCAGGGCCGCTTAGCTCGACGGACGGGCAAGGACATCTATACGACCAATACCAACTTGGACATCCGGTTCCGAGACTTCGGCAAACTCGGCCAAATGGTGGTGCAGCTCTCCTCCACACCGTTGGTCCAGGTCAAGGGCGTCACATGGAAACTGACCGAGGAGAAGCGAACCGCGCTGCAGGACCAAGTCAGGATGGACGCCCTCCGCCGCGCGATCCAACGAGCACAGAGCTACGCGCAGATTATCGGCCGCAGTAACACCGTCACGCCGGTCAAGATCCAGGACCATCCAGAGTCCCAGCCGACAGGTCGGGCCAAGCAGAGGGTTCGCATGCAAATGGCCGCGTCTCCAGCCTTGAGTTTGGGCGGCGGTATCGACTTTGAGCCGCAGCTGATCGAGGTCAGCGCCAAACTGGACGTTGAGTTCCATGCAGAATAGGTCGAGAGGATGCCTGATGGATGGGGCAACATGGAGGTGAAGCGGAAGGTGTTGATTAGAGACCGGTTGCGATAACTCTGACCCGGAGTCCCTTCGACAATGGAAGCAGCTGTTTCGTCCCTGCCAGGAACCATTCTGTTGTTGGGCCTTACCGGGCTATCCAGTATGGACAGCTAAGATGATGAAGGATAGGGCCGGGACTTGACGTTCCTTTCTCGACATCTGTTGGGATTTTCGTCTGTCTACAGCAAATAGAGCCTTGATGGTTCCTCGTGGATTTCAGATTGTTTCTTTGCTCCCTTGTGTTCACTGTTCGGCATTACACCTTCGAAGGCAGCTCGATGAAGCGTGCGGGTCTCGGCACTATATGTACCTTAGGTATGCACCGATAAATTCTGGTGCTCGCAGAGGCAACAAACCGGTCGTTCAATGTCTTTCCATTTCCGTTCATTCTGCAACCGTTATATCACACAAGGACAGAATTGTCTTCCGCAATCGGCCATAGGATCGAGAAATCAGCGCTTCCCGTTCGCTCAGCGGTACTTAAGCTCGATGCCGGCTAGTTAGTACTGAAGTGGGTGACCATTTGGGAATCCTGGCTGCTGATTGTTTTTGGTTTTTTGGTTTTTTGGTTTTCTGTTAAAATCCTAGCTGCTGATTGTTTTTGGTTTTTAGTTTTTTGGTTGGAATCCTAGCTGCTGATTGTTTTCGCCTTTTTAATGTAACAAAAAACCCAAAACCCAAAACCCAAAACCAAAAACCAAAAACCAAAAAAACCAAAAACAATCCCCCTCCCCGGCTCCCAGTATCGATTATCAATGATATAGTCCATTCCAATACCTCAATCACTCAGCTCGAAAACATCTCGTCCTTCTTTATTCTAGACTCTAGGCTACCTGTATGCCATCCGAACTCGGCACGTAACACATTACGCCTATTTCTCGTATAGAGATGAGATCCCCTCTTCGATTCCGATGATCGCAGTGCACTCAGTGGCTTCAGCCGCCGGCTCATCTCGACATTTCAGGCGAGCGTCCTTTTTTCCTCCCCCTTCCTTTCCTTTTCTTTTTTCTGTTCTTCTTCACCGAAACACGCTGCTCGTCGTCTGGCCAGTCTTCTTCCCTTCCTGATAGGCGGCACTTAGCTCATCATACATTTTCTTCGCGCGCTGCAGCTCGCCCTTCAGTTTCTCCTTGGCCGCGTCGTCCTCGACCGAGTCGATCAGGTCGGCCAGAGACCGGGCGGTGAAGAACTTGTTGGTGCGGTTGTACAGCGGCTTCGCGGCCAGTGTGTCCTCCGTGTCTCCCGGCGAAGGGACCTGATAGACGGATTTGAGAATGTCGATGTCATCTATGGTGGTGGGTTGGTGTTAGAAGTGACTATCCCATACACATATTGAGGGAAGAATGTGGGGAGAATGCAAACACAACAATCCATTGGGAATCAATGCCAACAATCCAACAAGTTCAACCGAATCGACCAACACAACCATCTAACTAGTTCAACTGAATCAACCAACTCAACAATCTAACCAGTTCAACCGAATCAACCAACAAAAACAATCTAATCAGTTCAACCGAATCAACGCAATTAATGGAATGCATGCATGGGAATCAACAAGTACTAGTACCATATCATAGCACTTGCTATAGTACTAGTACGGTACCGGGACCACTCACACGGGATGGCAAACAGATCTCGGCTGTCCTCGTAGGTAAACATGTAATAGACCTCGTTGAAGCCGGACCAGGTAATGCCGCTCAGGCACAGCGAACACGGCTCGTGCGTCGCGAAGAAGATGCAGTCCTTGGTCTCGGGCCGGCCGTCGCGCGGCAACTTGAAGAACTCCTGGATGCAGTTGATCTCGCCGTGCAGGAGGGGCGACTCGCGCTCGTTGTTGGTCGCCGCCTTGACCGTGGTCAGAGAGGCGCGGTCCAGCACCGCGGCCCCGAAGAGCTTGGAGCCCTGCGACACTTGCTGCGCCGTCAACGGCACAATGTCCTTTTCCGTCGTGGCGAGTAAGGCCGATGCGATTTCTTGGGCTCGTGACATTTTTTCCTGTTCCTGTTTCCTGTTTCCTGTTTCCTGTTTCCTGTTTCCTGTTTCCTGTTTTCTGTCTCCTGTCTCCTGTCTCCTGTCTCCTGTCTCCTGTCTCCCGAGACTTCGTTCTCTAGAGAGCCCTAGGTTCAAGTTCTTTCCCTCGGAAGACCCTTTTTCTGTTCGTTTCGGTTCGCTGTGCGAGCCAAAGGTTGGTGTCAAGGCTGCCGGCCGGCACTATATTCATATTATACGTGTGCACTCCCCACTCTCACCCTTGTCTGTGTGTTTCGTGTTTTCTTCTCCTCTCTCGTATTCGCTTTCGTAATGAGATAAGCCTCTCGACCAATCAGTCGCCCGGCGGAGCAGGAGTGGAAATAGGAGTTCGCCGAACCGCGGGCAGATCAGATCTCCGATCTCAGATCACTGGCTCCAGGCCGTGGACAGGGTAAGCTTGAGATTAACATCGATTGGCATCTAATACAGGAGATGGCGAAGTGACTTTATCATGGCTCCCAGCATGATACAATGTACTAGTACCTTGGGTAGGTACCGCCAATACTCTGTAGTAGGAAGTAGGATGGAAAATCCTGCCGCCTTGTAGCTGGGTTGAGTTCTATTGGGTGGCCGTGTTCAGCTTCCGCCCGTTAACTCCGGTCCACCAGATGGCACGAAGTACTATAGATATATACATAGTAGTACATGGCTCTAAACATGAGTTCGCCCAGGACCAAGACTAGGCTTCGGTCGGTCCCTTCACTTCAGGCCTAGGCTCAAGCTCAGCCTCAGCCTCAGGCACAGACTCATACACCTTTTCACGCCCGACCACCTTGCCATGGCCGTCGGGATAGACATCGAAAGCCCATTTCCGACCTGGATGGCCGGTTCTCAACTTGGCATTCCCTGGAGTCCCATACACATTTTCCCTCACCGTTGCACCATGGCCCACCGACGGCCCATCGAACAAGCCTCGCCGTTCCAGTTCCGGAAGCAGGTACTCAATCACGTCCTCCCACGCCTGTGGGACAACCACATGGCCGAGATTGAACCCGTCGACATCGGCCTCGTTGACCCAACGTTCCATCTCATCCGCCACGGTCCTGCTGCTGCCGACGACCGAGACACTGGCGCCTCCAATGGCCAGCTTTTTGGAAAACTCCCGCGGCGTCCACTTCGAGTTCTCGTAGCCCCTGGGCTTGGTCGTCAGTTGCACCACCACCCTGTGGTCGAGGCCCTTGAGCAGAGAATGGTCTGGGTCCGTCGGGAATTCTTCGTCCAGGGGGAACTTGCTGAGGTCGAAGCCGCCGATCCCCGAGTTCTGGGCCAATGAGCCTTCGGGATCGTGGTACTGGAGATGGCTGGCTAGCTTCTGACGCGCTTCTTCGTCCGTCGCGCCCAGGACCGGGGTCATGCCGAGGAAGAATTTCAAGTCGCTGGGCTGCCGGCCGAACTCTTTCGCTAGCTGTCGAGTCGCTTTGATTTTGGCCCCTACGTATTCAGGCGTAGGTCCGCCGACGAAGATGCATTCGGCGTGTTTGGCGGCGAATGCGATTCCCGCACTATGACAGAATTCATATCGTGTCAGTACTGACTGACATTAGGTTGAAGGGAGCCTTCCGTCACAGTATGAGATACATGGTACCACGAGGCCAACGTTGACAACCGACATCTGTGTGTGATATCCTCAGGAGTGCCTGTGTCGGAAACCCTGGGAAGGGAGCTTGTTCAAACTTACGGTGACATTCCAGCCTGAAAGAGCACAGGTGTCCGCTGCGGTGACGGATCGACCTGATGTGCACTCACGCAGTTGAAGAATTTGCCGTGGTGCTCGATCTTGCGCACCTTGTCCGGGTCGCTGTAGATTGGAATCTCTTCGTCCTGCACCACAGCATCGTCGGCCCATGAGCCTTCCCAAAGCCTATACATCTCAATGCTCCATATCAGCTGCCGTGGTTTATTCGTGAGGGATACTGTACCAACACAGTAAAATAGTTCCGTCGCTTTCAAGTTTCATGAACTGAACAAAGCGTGCCCAAGGGCCAAGGATACATAGTATTGACCAGTTCATATGTATAGGTACTACATAGTACTTACTTGTACATGAGCTCCAGGTACTCATCGGCCATTTCGTATCGGGTGTCTTTGTCCGGGAGTTTCTCCAGACCAACAGCCCGAGCTGCGTTATCCGACCAAGAAGTCACGATATTCTAGAAAAGTTATGCAGATTAGTACCGACACGTAATACATAATGTACATGGTACATAGCACTCAAAGGTCAACACCATTTATGGCTGTCTGTCAGGATCAAGCTTACCCATGCAATTCTTCCATTGGTGACATGGTCGAGGGTCGAAAACCTCTTTGCAAGCAGGTACGGCGGTTCAAATGTCGTGCAGGATGTGATCCCAAACGCAAGGTTTTCGGTGACAGCCGCCATGGCTGATATGATCTGTGGACAGACAGCAGATTAGTACATACTAGTACATATACTATGTACTACTCAATTGAGTCTGTACGCTTTCACGGACCGACATTGTACTTGTAGCGTATATGTTAGTATAGTAGTGATAGAACACTTACCACGAAAGGATCATATAATGGCCATTGCGACCCGGCTCTGATGGCTGGCGCGTGTGTCCCTCCATAGACATCGTGCGAACCAAAGTTGTCGGCGAGGAAGAGAGCGTTGAACCTACCACTGTCCAACAATTTGGCCAGGTTGATCCAGTAGTCGAGACGGTTCTTGGTCTTGGTTCGGTCGACAGGGTTCCGCCATTGTCCGTGACTGAGTACAGCAAGTGAGCAGAGATGAGCAGAGGTACGATCAGATCAGATCAGGTCTGAGACTGTTATAGACTCGGAAATCGAACTCACCTCGTATGTCCAATTCCATTCATATCGAACGCATTAAGCAGCAGTTTTTTCTTCGGGCGGCTCTCCGAGTTCGCTTGGCCATTTGGAGTGGTGCCACTGCCATTAGTCTGGAGAGTAGTAGTAGTATTAAGACCAACAACAGCAGCCATGACCGTTGGTGTGAGGTGAGATGCAATAGAGTGATCAAAAAGGATGTCGTGACTGGAATTGGTTGAAATCACTCCAGCACCTCAGTCTCAGTACTACGTAGTATATAGTATACTTGTAGAAGTCCTTAGATCTGAATATCGCCGATGGTCGTGTTCTATTGCGACATCCTTCGCCATACTGAGTACTGAAGAGGTGATTTCGAGCATGTCATATATAGTACTAAACTTGACGCCTATGGCGGAGGCAACTAATAGTAGTCTCCCGGCGGCTTCGGGGACTAAGGCTCGGCATCTATAATAGTACTAGCGCTTTATAAGCAGGAGCTCTACTAACTAGCTATAAGTATTTCGCACTTATAGGTGTTTATTTCGCACCCACGCTAAACTAGAATTATATAGTACTAATATAGTTAAAATTTACTACCTCTATTATAGTGCCTATACATACACCACGCCTACACTACGTCTACACCACGTCTACACTACTACTACATCACGTCTACACCACGTACACCTAAAGTTGCCTCCCTACTATAAGTGATCAAGTAGTAACGTGCATGATAAGCGAGTGAAACAGACAAGCGAGTGAAACA